AGCTCCCACTGTGAACCATTTGACTCTACTCTAGTAAAGCTGATATAGTCTCCCTCACCTTTCTTCTGATTGGCTGTCCCTTGTAAATGAAGGGTTTGCAGCTTTCCTCACTTGTTCTGTATTTCTTTATTGTGAACAAAACCTCCCGTTTTATGCGGTACTTCTCTGCATGTAGGCAGCAGGCAGACATTATAGAGGATCTTGTCACCGATGTCCCCCTGGAGTTTGATTTCCTCTTTTCCCGTTCACATGTTGAGGTCATCTCTGGGAAACAGGAAGGTGAGCTGACAGGCTTGTTTACCCTGCTGATAGTGGCACTCTTTAAACCTGACACTTCTAACTGCTGCCTGCGTGTTTCTGTGTCTTCTCACTGTGAAACGACATGTTCCTGTCACCTCGTAGGAGTGTATGCTTGGATTGGCATTAACTTTGTCTTGGGCCGCTTCGACCATCCTGATGAGGGTGAGTGTGACGGAGGCATGATGTTTACCAAACTCACACTAATGTTTGTTTTACGTGTGTTTTATGCAAAATTGTTATTTTTTTGGGGGGGTGGAATTTTTAAAATATTTGTAAAAAAAAATTTTTTAGAGGACGCCACAGTCGAAGTGACAACAAGTTCTCAGAACCAGCAGCCAATCAGCAGACGGCGCACAGTGGGCATCATGGATATGGGTGGAGCTTCACTTCAAATCGCCTATGAGGTGCCCAGCGCCATCACCTTCAACTCACCTCAAGAAGTAAGGAAATACTCTGAGTACTGACCTGTCCTGCCTGTGATGTAGCCTGGAAGGCTGCTCCTGTCTGCATTAGCGTAACACCTCTGTGTGGTTTTCAGGAGGAGGCAGGGAAGAGCTTCCTCGCAGAGTTTAATCTGGGCTGTGATGTCGAGCACACGCAACACGTGTACCGAGTGTATGTCACCACGTTCCTGGGCTTTGGAGGAAACATGGCCAGGCAGCGCTACGAGGACCAGCTCTTTAACAGCACCTTCACCAAGAACAGGTTAGTCACATGTGTTTTTTATGCTTGAAGCACACTGTGAGATACCTGCAAATATCTACATTTTGCATTACAGCTGCATAACTGATATGTGTCTCATTTTTCCTTTAGACGGAGCTACACAGTAAAACTGATATTTACAGGCAGTTGTTATTATTCTGTAGCCAATATATTATAACATTCACTTTACTTCTAATTAGTGTGAATGCAGATTAAGCATTCACAGCATTATAATACAAATCTTTGTTATTATTTTTCATTATTATTATCCTGTATTGTGTTATGTTTTTCACCAGCTATCACCTTCAATTTAGGAAAACCATTCAACCACCGTTAGATTGCTCTTCTTTTCTATATGTCTGCTTGTATTTTTCTCATTTCTAACTTTTATATTTTTTGAAATATTCAACTTTATTCAACAAAATCTATAATGTATTTCAATGGAGAGAAGTGTTTAAAGAAGTGTTTTAAGTTGCTCCTCTTTTAACTCTAACTGCTTCCACACACATTCACCTACAGACACCTTTCAGACTTTAAAACGAAGCCAAGACATTAAACTATTGAGCTTGTATTTATCTTTTCAATATCTTTTATAGTTTTTCTTCAGTTCCAGTTTTCATGCTTTTTTCACCCATTTCAGAGTTTATGATGAGTAGGGATGGGTATTGTTTAGGTTTTATCCGATACTGGTGCCAAACAGGTACTTTTGAAACGGTGCTGGTGCTTAAACGGTGCTCAAACCGGTGCTTAAAGAATGGAGAACACAAAATTGGTCCAAAAACCTCTC